TCCTGCTCAGACTCGGCCCAGGAGTTGAACGCTCCCCCCGCCTGGGGGACGCGGGGCCCCCCGCGCCCTCCTCCACTCTCGGCTCTCCTTCTGAACTTCTCCCGTGCTTTCTCCTTCCCCTCGCTTCTCGGACAGATTCGCCCTACCCAGTGTTTGGACCTGGCCTGGCCCCAGTCCGAGTCCTAGGGGGAGCCCTGCTTGGGCTCCTGGGGACCTCCGTTAGTTTAGGCCTGGAGATCCCAGACCGAGGCTTCATTTTTATTTTTATTTTTGCCATCGCCCAGGGACAGTCGCTTTTCTCGCCCTTCCACCTCCACTAACAGATGAGGAAACTGAGGCACCCCAAGGTCACTTGCCAGCCTGAGGCAGAGCAGAATCACATGAAAGGCTCCTGCCCTGGTGTCCAGCTTGAACTTCTCTGTTGGTTGACTCACGTCCCCATCCTGTGGTTGGCTGCTGGGACTCCATGCCACCCCCAGCCTGGGGACCTCTGAGGGCTCTGTGTCACCTGTCCACCGCGCTGCTCACCTCACCTCCTCAGCCTGTGGGGGAGGCAGGGCCTGGCCCCCCTCCCTCAGAGGAGATTTGGGGAATTGCTCACAAACAGCTAGAGATGCAGAGCTCCGAGCCCCCGCATCTGTGAGGCATCTCCTGCCTCTTCAGCCCCACCTCCTGCCTTGCTCTCTCCTCCCGCCAGCGATGTTGGGCTCCACACCTAGCAAGAGGCTTTGATGGTCCTGTCTAGGATCACTGCTCACCTGTCCCATCAGCCTGGACAGGGCTGACCTCTGTCCCTGGGTACCTTCACAGGGCACATCCTGGCAGCCAAACTTCTGCTGGCAGCCAAAGACACCCGACTGGGCAGGGCCTGCCGGTGGCTACGGGGAGCCCAGCCAGCGCCTCACCCAGTCATTAGGGAAGGGTTAGCCTCAGGCTGACATGCTGACACACAGGCTGGAGTCTGCTCCAAAGGAAAAAATGTGTGGCCCTTGGGCGAAGGGAGTGGGGAGGAGCAGAGGGCCTTGGCTCTGGGAGCCCACCGTGGGGATCCTCAGATGTCCTTGGCAAGGCCAGCAGGTGGGTGGACGCTGTGGCCGCTTGGGAGGGAGAGAGGAGATGCCACGTTTCTGAGCAGGTGTGGGGTGAAGGGTGGCAGCTTGGACAAGTAGCTTCTTGTGTGTTTCCAGCACGTGGCATGCCTGGATGTTCCTGTCCTGGCTGTGGCATGGTGGGCCGAAGGCTCTTCTTTCTCACTGCCCTTGCCCTGGAGTTCCTGGGAAGGGCTGGGGCAGCCCAGCCAGCCCTCCGGAGCCTGGGGGCTGCCGCTGCCTGTCGCCTGGACAACAAGGAAAGCGAATCCTGGGAGGCCCTGCTGAGTGGGGAGAGGCTGGACACATGGATCTGCTCGCTCCTGGGTTCCCTCATGGTGGGGCTCAGTGGAGTCTTTCCCTTGCTCATTATTCCCCTGGAGATGGGGGCCATGTTGCGCTCAGAAGGTGGGTGACTCCCCCCACGCCAGGGGCCCTGAGGGGCAGCCAGCAGTGTGGGAAACCTGCTGCTGCTGCCCTTCTTGGAAGACCCTGGTGTGTCTGAGATGAAGGGTTGGCATCGTTGCTCATTCAGCCGTGCATCCATCCATTGTTTCAGGCTGCCGACTCTTGCGGAAAACGAAGTTCCTTAACTTCATTCTGTCTTAGTCTCCCAACCTCAAACATGAAGATAAGCTGGGTGTAGTGGCTCAGGACTATAATCCTAGCTATATGGGAAAGGCAGAGATCAGGGTTCAAAGCCAGCCTAAGCAAAAAGAAGTTTGTTTGAGGGACTGCATCTTAACCAATGGCCGGGCAAGGTCACATACCTCTATTGTCCTAGCTAAGGGGTAGTAGAGTGGGTAAGCACAATGCCTTACTGGGTTCAGTGGCTCGCAGCTGTAATCCCCAGCAACATGGGGAAGCAGAAGTAGGAGGCTAGTCCCAGCAGAAAGAGCAAGATTGTGCCTTGACAATAACCAATGTTCAAAAAGGTTGGAGTTGTGATTCAAATGGTAGAGCACCTGCCTTGCAAGCCTAAGACCTTGAGTTCAAACCCAGTACCAGCAAAAAAAAAAGGAGGGGAGGGATAATGGCATGGAGTGTAGCTCAGTGGTAGAGTGCCTACCTAGGGAGCCAGGGTTTGGTCTTCGGCGCTCCCCCAAAATGGGATCATCCTAGGTCCCTGAGGATTCGCTGAAGTGTGCGACCCAGGGAAGGGGCTAGGTGTTTGCAAGCCCATGCAGAGCAAAGGTGAGGTGCTGAGCCAACACTGCCTCACTCAGCCCAGCTCACAGCGTGAGTGCTCAGTCCAAGAGCAGCTGGGTCAGCCTTCTGCAGTACACCAGAGGTTGGAGGCAGAGGCTGCCATTAGGAGGCAGCCTCTGGAAGATGGGGTTTTCTTTTGTACCACGTGCACACACTGCCTGTTCACAGATAACATGTTTTGTAATTAAAGATTTTTTTAAAGCCCAGGTATGGTAATGCACACCTATAATCCCAGCACTTGGGCAGCAGAGGACTACATAGACAGACCTTTTTTTTTTTTCAAAGTCTTCCAGAATAAGAAGAGATTTAAAAATTATTATTGTTTTTTTTGGGGGGAGTCCGGTCGTGGGGCCTGAACTCTGGGCCTGGGCGCTGTCCCTCAGCTCTTCAGCTCAAGGCTGGCGCTCTACCACTTCAGCTACAGTACCACTTCCGGCTTTTTTCTTTTTGCTTATGTGGTGCTGAGGAATTGAACCCAGGGCCTCAGGCATGCAAGGCAAGCACTCTACCACTGAGCCACCTTCCCAGCCCCTAAAAATTATTATTATAAAATTCCCAGCCCCTAAAAATTATTATTATAAAAGTTAGGTACAGAGGAGTTAGTTACATAAGTCAGGTAATGAGTATATTTCTCTCTCTCTCTCTCTCTTTTGGTCTGGGGCTTGAACTTGGGACCTGGATGTTGTCCCTGAGCTCTTTTTTTTTGGGGGGGGGTCCAGTCGTGGGGCCTGAACTCTGGGCCTGGGCGCTGTCCCTCAGCTCTTCAGCTCAAGGCTAGCACTCTACCACTTGAGCCACAGCGCCACTTTCGGCTTTTTTTCTTTTTTCTTTTTTTTGCTTATGTGGTGCTGAGGAATCGAACCCAGGGCCTCAGGCATGCAAGGCAAGCACTCTACCACTGAGCCACCTTCCCAGCCCCTGTCCCTGAGCTCTTTTTCTCAAGGCTACTGCTCTACAACTTAAGCCATAGCACCAATTCTGGTTTTCTGGTGGTTCATTGGAGATAAAAGTCTCCTGGACTTTCTCGCCCAGGCTGGCTTTGAACCACGATCCTCAGACCTCAGCCTCCTGAGCAGCTTAAGGATTACAGGTATGAGCCACCAGCACCCGCCTTACATTTCTGTTTGGACAACGCCATCCCTTCCCTCGCTATCTCTCCAGTTTTTCCCTCCCATCTTCACCCACAAGTTGTATTTAGTTCATTTTCAACAGTGTCTAGTGCAGACTAGCATGGCATTTGTTTGCCCTTCGTCCCTGAGAGACCTGTCTTAAAAAAATAAAATACAAAAGAGCTGGGCACTTTAGAATTAACTTTTTAAAATTAAGGCCAGGGGCTGGGAATGTGGCTTAGTGGTAGAGTGCTTGCCTAGCATGCACGAAGCCCTGAGTTTGATTCCTCAGTAACATATAAACAGATAAAGCTGGACATGGTGCCGTGGCTTAACTGATAGAGCACTAGCCTTGAGCAAAAAAGAAGCTCAGGGACAGTGCCCAGGCCCAGAGTTCAAGCCCCAAGACTGGAAAAAAATAAAATAAGGCCAACCATCAATGGCTCTTGCCTGTAATCCTATCTACTCTAGAATCTGAGATCTGAGGATTGTGATTCAAAGCCAGCCCTGGGCAAGAAAATCTGTGACACTCTTATTTCCAATCAACCAAACACACACACACACACACACACACACACACACACACACAAAATGCCTGAAGTCCAGTGGTAGAGCACTAGTCTTGAGCACAAAAACTCTGGGCCCAAGATAGGTACAAGAAAGAAAAGAAAGAGACAGAGAGACAGAAACAGAAGAAAGGATGGAGGGAGGGAGGAAGGAAGGAAGGAAAAGAAAGAAGGAAAAATATTATATAGGGAGCTGCTAAAAATGCAGTGTCCATGCCGCCTGCCACCCGGCACCTGACAGTGCAGCGGCACTGGCCCTGGGAATCTGTTAAAATGAGCGCCCTTAAGCTTGGTCACTCACCAGGTTCGGGAACCATTCATTTACGGATGGATGGATCCTGAACTCCTCTTGACAGCGCCGGGCTGAGGGCTGGCTCCACGGCTTTGGACAGCACCATCGTGGGGGCTCGTCCCTCTTCAGAACAGCCTTGCAGGGTCAGTGTAGGAGGCACTTGGATCGCTACAAGTGGAAATGGGAGGCAGTGGCACAGGGGTTCACACCGTGTGGGAGCAGCAGCCTCCCCTGGGATCATCAGCTCCATCTCCTAAGCCTCATTTGCTCTAATAAACCAAGGATCTGGATGCTGCAAATGTGCAAAAGTCTCCAAATCTCTTGTCGCACCGGTGGAGAAGGGAGCCGTTCCTTTTCACGAACTCTTGCTGTGTGTCTTATGACTTAATTCCCACAAAATCCAGTTCGCAGATGAGGAAACTGCGCTTCACTAGACAAGGCTTGGGCAGCTTGGCTGTGAGGCACGGAAGTGCCGTCTCTTCGCTGTAGTCATGAGTCCACAGTGGCCCAATAAGTTGAGGTGGACCTGGGTTGTGGGGGACCCATATGCAGTCTTCCTGGGATTTGCAGTGTAGTTGAGTCTGGTTGTGACAATAAAGAGCCCAGGGACCTGGTGGGGAGGAGAGAGGGGAGTTGTCCTGTGCCCAGCTCAGACCCTGCCCTGTACTTTGCAGCTGGAGCCCAACGCCTAAAGCAGCTGCTCAGCTTTGCCCTGGGAGGACTCTTGGGCAATGTATTTCTGCACCTGCTGCCCGAGGCATGGGCCTACACGTGCAGCACTAGTCCTGGTGAGTGAGGTGTCAGGCAGGGACAAGAGGGCAGGAGCAGGGGGCTGGTGCCAATGCCCGGCGTTAGCTTAGGCCCTGCCCTGCTCTGCCAGAGGGGCTGGGAGAGGCTTCATCGGGCAGGGAACTTGCCTGGGAGGGAAGGGCCATGCTTCTAGCATCCTGGCCACTGTGGGAGCCCTAGGGTCCAGCTGCCTGACAAGCCAGGCCTGCTTGGGGTCAGCCTGTCCTTGCCCCGGATGGCCCCTTCCTAGGACACTGGCTTGGCATGGCCTCTTAGTGCTCCCCCTGCAGGTGGCGAGGGGCAGAGCTTGCAGCAGCAGCAGCAGTTGGGGCTGTGGGTCATCGCTGGCTTCCTGACCTTCCTGGCGTTGGAGAAGACATTTCTCAACAGCAAGGAGAAGGAGGGGATCAGCCAGGTGAGCCCCACACCCCAAGGCCTGGGAGTGCCCAGGGCCTAGAGAACTAGGAGCTTGAGTTAAGCACTGAAGAAAAAAGGGGGGGTCTCCTCTGGGAGTTTGGAGAGGCCGGGCCAGCTTCTTTGGGGGGATCTGGGGAGTGGCAGCATTGGGCCTAGTGGCTTGTTTCACTCGATGATGTGGGGGGCACCCAACTAATGGAGCCACAGAAAAGCATAGCCAGATAAAAGAGGTGTTCCCTTGTGTCTCTTCTCCATCTTTGTTCCCCACTTCTGTCTGCCCTGGCCGAGGGGGGAGGGCATCTAATGTCACCTCTCTCTCCTTCTCCTGGCCCTAGGCCCCCAGCAAAGACCCCACTGCTGCCGCGCTCAATGGAGGCCACTGTCTGGCCCAGCCGGCTGCAGAGCCCGGCCTGAGAGCCGTGGTCCGGAACCTCAAAGTGAGTGGCCCACTCAGGGGCCCCTTGTGGCAGCCACAAAGCTGCGTGAGCAGCCAGGCTCAGGCCTCCCTGTCTGCTCAGTCCAGCTTTCTGTCCCCTCACCCAGGTCAGTGGCTATCTCAACCTGCTGGCTAATACCATAGACAACTTCACTCACGGGCTGGCTGTGGCCGCCAGCTTCCTTGTGAGCAAGAAGGTGAGTGTGGGGGTTGGGCAGGTCGGGAGGGAAAGATGCCATCCGTGGCGAAGAGCCGGTCCCGTCACCAAAAGATGCGCCACCGATTTGCTCTCTCCATTGCTGCGGCTCTAAACTTGTCACCCTCAGGTGCTGCCACCCCTCCACCGTCTCGCTGAACTCCTCCTGTGCCATGCTATTGTGCTGTTCTTCTTGCCAACACTCTTTTGTTGGTGAGCCTCTATGGAGCTGCTAGCCTCGGCTCTGCCTACTTCTAGATGCTTCTCCTTCCACCTCCTCCTCCTCCTGCTCTCTGGGCTCTGCCCAATGCAGTGCTTCCATTGCACTGGCTGAGTTGTTTCCCACTGCATATCTGCGTGGGACGCTCCTCCTCCCACTCCTGGCTTTGGGCCTCATTCGAAATGCATTTCCTCCACGAGGCCTTTGCGATCTTCCCTTCCCGTTCTCCCCCCTGGCCGCATCCACTCCTTCCCCTTCACAGTCCTGTCTCTGTCTTTAACTGTTGGCATCATGAGGCAGGCTCCTGTCTCTCTCTGGGGTGTGTGTGTGCACGTGCACGCGCGTGTGCGTGCGTGCACTGATACTAGGGTTTGAGCTCAGGGCTTGGGCACTGTCCCTTTGTTCAAGGCTGGCACTGCCACTTGGGTCACCCCTCTATTTCCAGCTTTTTACTGGTTAATTAGAGATAAAAATCCCACAGACTTTCCTGCCCGGGCTGGCTTTGGACCTCAGATTTCAGCTTCCTGAGTAGCTGGGGTGACAGGCGTTGGCCACTGGCTTCTGGCTGGCTTTGGACCTCAGATCTCAGCTTCCTGAGTAGCTGGGGTGACAGGCATTGGACCTCAGATCTCAGCTTCCTGAGTAGCTGGGGTGACAAGCGTTGGCCACTGGCTTCTGGCTCCTTTACTTGCTGCTCTTTCCAGGAGCCCACAGTGTCCAGCACAAACGTTTGGGGAGTGAAGGGGTGTGGGGTGCCCCAGCCCTGGTCTCAGGCTTTCTTCCCTGCAGATCGGGCTCGTGACGACCATGGCCATCCTCCTGCATGAGATTCCCCATGAGGTGAGCACCTGAAGGGCGGCCAGGGTCTAGGCCCCAAGGGGTCCCTTGCTGGGTAGGCTCTCGGGTGCCACTCTCGGGTGGGGGTGGGTGGGCACGGCAGGCTGAGGACAGGGGGACTGGGCCCCTCTGAGGTACTCGGGTGATCCAGCCTGGCTGCAGCCCAGCTTGAACATTTGGACCTCCCCTCAGGTGGGCGACTTTGCTATCCTGCTCCGGGCTGGCTTTGACCGGTGGAGTGCAGCCAAGCTGCAGCTCTCGACAGCACTGGGGGGCCTGCTGGGGGCCTGCTTCGCCATCTGTACGCAGTCCCCCAAGGGAGTAGGTACGGGCGTGGTGGGTGGTGGTGGTCAGCAGAGGACCAGCCAAAGGGTGCAGCTGCCCTCCTGCTGGTACCCGGCTGGGGTCTGCCCTGGTCTCCCCCCCAAGGGAGGGGATAGGGAACACCCAGCCCCCTGCGCTCTCAGCCAGTCAGGCACCCCCTTTCCTGTGCAGAGGAGACGGTGGCCTGGATCCTACCCTTCACTTCCGGAGGCTTTCTCTACATCGCTCTGGTGAACGTGCTGCCTGACCTCTTAGAGGAAGATGACCCATGGTGAGTGACCTCCGAGGGTCCCCCCAGGAGCTGCGGCCTCTGCCCCCATCTCCTCTGCCCCTGTGTGACCTGGGCTCTCCCCACAGGCGCTCGCTGCAGCAGGTGCTGCTGCTCTGCTCGGGCATTGTGGTGATGGTGGTGCTGTCCTTCTGTGTGGAGTAGCCTTCGCCCCACCCCCTGCACAGCAATAAGAGACTCAGATATCCGCTCTGTGAGTGTGTGCACGAGGCAAGGAGTGAGGGCTGGGAGACCTGCCCCTGCCACAAGAGAGGATGGTGTGTGCGAGACCGACACTGTGACCCTTGTGTGTGTGCAGGGGCCCACGGCCCTGCCATGCCTGCTCCAGGCTCCCCTCACGACCACCATCTGTACCTGCTAGAGGAACCGCAGCCCCGGTCTCCACAGAGGTCTCATCCCGCCAGGGCCCCCAAAAGGAGTGCAAGCAGCCCCAGGGCCACAGAGAACCCCAAGTTGTTCTCTGCTGCCAGAGCCTCCTGAGCATCTGGCCTGGGGGAGCAGCCCCCTGGCTCACTCACCTACCCAGGCCCTGGGCAGCCCAGGCACAGAAGCAGGGGCCAGTTCTTTACTGCGCCCACTCCCCCCACCCCCTTCCTTCCCACTTCTACAGCCAAAGAAAGGGGAGGCAGGTGCTCATGCAGCACCCAGTTCCACTCAGCACTGACGGGTGTACGCCTCCTAGCATAAGCAGGGAGCTCACGTCTTTCCTCAGGGCCGCCTGCCCACGCCAGCTTCTGTTACCCAGCAAAAGTTCCCTGGCAGCACAGGCAGCTTGTGCCGCCTCCAGCTGCCAAGCAACAGCACACAGGGCAACAGGCAGCCCAGGCCAGCTCAGGGATGCTCCTGCGGCAGTCCGGCACACAAGCCCCCCCTTCCCTGCTCAGCCCCCTTGCAGGCACCCCCTCCCCCTTGCCCTTTGGGACTCCGGGGAAGGTGAGGGGGGAGTGAGGATTCCACATTGTCAGCACTCAGGAATGTGCTCTGGGAGAATGCAGAAGCCATAATCCCCAGCTATTTCCCTTGGCTGGCGCCCAGGTTCTCAGCTGGCCCGCTCCACAGCCTGGCTCCAGCCCTGCTGCTAGACCGTGGGTGTTTATAGAGAAACGTGGCCATCAAGGCTAAGCGGTTCTGCTGCAGTGTTGTATCTGTATCTGTACATACCTGTTCTATAGATGATGAATAAATATTCTCCAGACTATCTGCCTGTCCTGCACACCAGGGGCTGTGGTCATCTTCCACCCTTGTGTATCTGCACATTTCCACTTTCCTGCCTTGTTTTATCATTAATCTTTTATCCCAGTAGCAGCTGAGCTCAAAAGCAAAGCAAGCCTGGCAACTAGGTCATCTCAGCCCCTCACCACTCTCAGGGATGGCATCTGCACTTAGTGAACCTTTTAAGTCAAGGATATTCCTGCCCCTTGCCCCAATAGACTCAATAATTTCATCAAGGAAGGGTGCTTGATCTATAAAGTCAACTCCAGGTGTGACCTCATCAAATTACCATTCACAGAAGAAGAGAGAAAAACCAGGCACTGTTGGCTCATCCCTAGAATCCTAGCTAGTAGGAGGCTGAGAGCTAAGGGTTGCAGTTCACCACCATTGTGGGCAGACAAATGTGAGGCTCATCTCCAGTTAATGAACAAAAAACTGTAAGTGAGGGTTTGGCTCAAGTGACAGAATGGCAGCTGTGAGTATAAAGGGCCAAGCAAGAGTGCGAGCAGCAGGGTTGGAGCCCCAGTTCTACAGGCGCGTGCGTACACAAACAGATCCTTTCCAGTCAAACTCTCTGGGAGTGCTTGGCTTTCAGGATTTCTATCAGCAAAACATTTGAAATGGACAGAAGGTAACTGTCTCAAGACCTCAGAGATCCAATGGAGGAGCCCACAGCCATCTCTGCTGTCCCCCAGACAGGACCCTGCCAGGCTGCAGAGCTGAGTAGAGGACACTGGGGCAGTGTTAAGACTAGAGGAGAGCAAATAGTGTGGGAAGGAGCTGGCCTTTCAAAAGACAGGATAGGCAGTAGCTTTTGTCCAGTCTGCTGGGAAGGGGAAAGAAGAAAAGGGTGGATACAGGCTTTTGCCTCTTTGATGACATAATTGAGGTCTGAAAGGTTACTTTGAAATATTATTACTCAAGGCCACTCAAAGCCACTAGTAAGATGGCTCAATGAAAATCAACAGCTGCACTGCCAGTCCTGGGTTTGAGTCCTACCTACAAATCCAAGGATTATTTAAGTAGATATTCTCACCCCAGTTATAATCACATCCATAAACTGAGGTACCTTAATGGTGGCTATTCTAGTTACCAGATGAAATTAAGCATTAAGCTATCTGGAGGTGTGTGACTCAAGGGGTAAAGCAGCCGGGCAAGGGCTAAGACCTGTACACGGCGCAAGTGAGCTGGACCTCGCAAGGGCTAAGACCTGTACACGGCGGCGCAAGTGAGCTGTCACCAAGAGGTCCTGATCCCAGCCCTGGCTCAGTGTGGAGAGCTGGAGTCGCTAGCAGACAGGACACGGCCAGGAAGATCCTGAAGCAGACTACACAGGCTGTCTGGCCTGCCAAGGGAGTGGGCAATAGGAGGGAACACAGAATGACAGATTAGGCCAGGCACTGGTTGCTCATGCCTATAATCCCTAGCTACTCATGAGGCTGAGATCTGAGGATCACGATTCGAAGCCCGAGTAGCAGAAAAGTCCATGAGACACTGTTTCCAATAAATCACTCAGAAAAAGCCAGAGTGGTGTTGTAGCTTAAGTGGTAGAGCACTAGCCTTCAGCACAAAGAGGCTCAGGGACAGAGCCCAGGCCCTGTGTAGCCCCAAAATGATTAGGTATAGAAGGGCTCTCAGAAAATCTTGCTTGTGGCCGATTTTTCAGACAAAGAAATGGGTTCAAAGTCCTAAGTTGAGATCACCAATGGAGAAATGGGAGGCCTACATGTAAGCCAGGAAACAAGAGTTCCAAGGACCAAAGATACGAAACCTTGGCTTCTCAAGGCAGCAGGGGAAAGGTTAGTGTGTTTGGCTACCTGTGTGGCCAAAAGCCTCTGACAACTAAGAGCAGGGGGCAGAGAATGAGAGAAAGGCTTTGATGGGACTTGGGGCAGACTCTGGCAACAGCTGTGCCCCCAAAAACCTCACCCTGACAACTGCTTTGGGGCCCACAGCTGTCTCAGAGATTTCCAGGCTATGGCCCCAGGGCACAGGCCTCCTGCATGTCTCCACTCTGGCACCCGGGGCCCACAGGAGACGAGACAAATGGCAAGAACCCAAACCACCTTTTATTAGGAACCTCAGTTGGTGGGAGACCGGGGAGAGGCAGCACTAGGCAGCTGCAGTACTAGGCATAGTACTGCAGGTTGGCTTTCTTCTTTGCCTGCACCTCCAGGATGCCCTCCATGTAGTCCTCATGGGTGAGCTCTGTGGCGCCTCTGCGCAGTGCGATCATGCCCTGCAGCCAAGACAAACAGGCTTGAAAGTGCCTCCCCGCACCCAGCAGCTCAGACCTCTTCAGCCTCTTGCCCTCAGGAATCTCCCCAGTCCCGTCAAAGGGGCAGGAAGGTAGCAGCCACCTACCCACCCCTCCTGACCACTCACCGCCTCCACACACACAGCCTTGCATTGGGCCCCATTGAAGTCATCAGTGCAGCGGGCCAGCTCCTCGTAGTTCACATCAGGACTGTATGGAGAGAGGGCAGTTGCCACAGGGCTTACTCATGGGGAAGGGAAAGGAGGGCACCGATGGCCTGACATGCCCCCCATCAGGCAGTGGAGTCCTCGCCCAGGATGAAAGGCAAGCTCCTTACCCACGCTGCCTTACATTCTCCTCAGTACAAGACAAGTGGGGGTAGAAACTAAATTAGACCAGGTTATTTTTAAGATCTTTGTGCTCTGGCATTGTGAAAATCTACATCTGAGGCTCTAGGAATCATCTTAGGAGAGGGGATTTCAGGGACTAAGATGGCCTCACACCCATGAGGGTGGGCCAACACAGGCCTGCTGTCTGCACGTGTCAAGCACTGTGCTTGATACTGTCACATCTAAACCTCCCCACATCCCCCAGAGGTGGGGGCAACTGTCCCCAAGTTCCAAACAAGAAAAGAGGTTTAGCCAGGTGCCAGTGGCTCACGCCTGTAATCCTAGCTACTCAGGAGGCTGAGATCTGAGGATCACGGTTCAAAGCCAGCCCAGGCAGGAAAGTCCGTGAGACTCTAATCTCCAATAAACCACCAGAAAACTGGAAGTGGCGTTGTGATTCAAGTGGCAGAACGTTTGCCTTGAGCTGAAGAGCTGAGGGACAGTGCCCCGGGCCAGAGTTCAAGCCCCACTACCAATAATCACAACAACAACAACAAAAAAAACAGGCTTAGCCAGGCCTGGCACACTCTCATGTAATCCTAGCTATTCAGAGACAGAGATTGGTGGTGCAAGTTCCAGGCCAGCATGGGCAAAACTTTGCAAGAACTTATCTGAACAAACAAAGCTGGGGTGTAGTAGCCTATCTGTTATCTCAGCTATGCAGGAAGCTTAACTAGGACAGAGTCTGGGCCCACTCAGGCACACATTTGAGACCCTGTTCAGAAAAGTAAAGGCAAAAAGAGCAGAGGTGCTCTGTGCTGCCTGCTCAGGACTCTGCTCACCTGACATTCATTTTTCGGGAGTGGATCTGCATGATTCTGGCCCGGGCTTCCTCATTTGGCATTGGGAACTCGATCTTGCGGTCCAGGCGGCCTGATCGGAGCAGGGCAGGGTCCAAGATGTCCACCCTGTTAGTGGCTGCAATTACCTGAGAGAGGGGAGACAGCAAGTTGCCCAATCACACACACACAAAAAGCAGGGGCTCCGGGGTGCAGGTGAGAACAGGGGATGAAAAAGGCAGATCAAATCCACAGTCTAGCTCCACAGCTCACTAGCTGGGGAACCGAGGCAGTGTCCTGGAATCAGCCTTATTTTCTACCTGAGAAGTGACAAAACGCTCACCTTTACTTGGGTGTTCGGCTGGAAGCCATCTAGCTGGTTCAGGAGCTCCAGCATGGTCCTCTGTACCTCTCGGTCACCGGCCTTCTCACTGTCAAAACTGGGGTTCACAGGCCAAGACACCAGTGAGGCCATGACCCAGGTGGAGGGTCCCCCTTCTCCTCCCACCACAAACCTAACCCAACCTGTCCAGGTGGGGACACGGCCCAGTCACTGCCACATAAAAAGGGGGTCACTAATGGTAGACTGCAGCCTTCACAGCCCAAAGCCTTCTGGGATTGGGGACCAGCAACAGCTATGGCCAGAGGTATCCCATATGATGGGACAAACTTGATGGCAGACCAGGATGCGAGTGTGGGAGGAGCCAGGCTTCTCCAGAGGAAGGGTCTGGGGCTGTGCCTTTCCAAACGCCCCGCGACTTGCTGCAGCTTAGAACTTTCCATTTCCCCAGCCTCCACTCTTATTGCTGCTATACAATTCTCCATGAAGGCTGACCACTAAGGTATATCACAACTGTCCTCAGGGCCTAAGATAATCTGACAGATACCATAATGGCGTTCGAACTAATTAACTTTCAGGTGGCTGCTGTTGCAACTTGACCTTTTGAACCTCATCTCTGCTGGGACCACTGGCAATTACAGTAAATGTTCGAAGTATTTTGAATAGACCCCTATCCAATGGAAGGAGAATTTTTAAAAAATCTGCATCAAGAACTACTCCTCATAAAAATGGTACATTTGGGCTGGGAAGGTGGCTCAGTGGTAGAGTGCTTGCCTTGCATGCCTGAGGCCCTGGGTTCGATTCCTCAGCACCACATAAGAAAAAAGAAAAAAGC